TCATGACCAATCTTCCCATCATAACACAAAAAAATTTATAAATATAATATAATCAATGTCATATCGATAGCCCACTCTCATCAAAACAATAATCAATGCCATATCGATGGCCACTCTCGGCTAAACGATAATTAATGTCACATCGATAGCCCACTCCCGACTAAATGATAATAAATGCCATATCGATAATCCACTCTCGGCTAAACGATAATATATATCACATTGATAGTCCACTCCCAGTTAAAAGATAATAGATGTCATATCGAAAGCCCACTCCCGGAAAAAAAATAATAAATATCACATTGATAGCCCACTCCCGGATAAATGATAATAAATATCCAATTGATAACCCACTCCCGGCTAAACAATAATAAATATCATATCGATAGCCCATTCCTAGATAAATGATAATAAATGTCATATCGATAGCCCACTCCCGGCTAAACGATAATCAATATCACATCGATAGCCCACTCTCGAATAAACGATAGTAAATGTCATATTGGTAGTTCACTCTCGGCTAAAGAATAATAAATATAACATCAATAGCCCACTCCCGGCTAAACGATATAAATGTCATATTGACAGTCCACTCCCAGCTAAATGATAATAAATACAATATCGATAGCCCACTCTCGACTAAACGATAATAAATATTACATCGATAGCCCACTCCCGGCTAAACGATAATAAATGCCATATTTATAGCCCACTCCCGGCTAAACGATAATAAATACCATATTGATAGCCCACTCCCGGCTAAATGATAATAAATATTACATCGATAGCATACTCCTGGCTAAACGATAATCAATGTCATATCGATAGCCCACTCTCAGCTAAACGATAATCAATGTCGCATCGATAGCCCACTCCTGACTAAATGATAATAAATGTCATATCGATAGCCCACTCACAGCTAAACAATAATATAGATCACGTCGATAGCCTACTCCCAGCTAAACAACAATAGATGTCATATAGAAAGCCCACTCTCGGCTAAAAAATAATAAATATCACATCGATAGCTCACTCCTAGCGAAACGATAATAAATGCTATTTATTGATAGCCCACTCCCGGATAAACAATAATAAATATCACATTGATAGTCCACTCCCGGATGAACGATAATAAATGCCATATTAATAGCCCACTCCTGGCTAAACGATAATCAATACCACATCGATAGCCCCCTCCCAGATAAACGATAATAAATATCATATTGATAGTCCACTCTCGGCTAAATAATAATAAATATCACATCGATAGCCCACTCCCAGCTAAACGATAATAAATGCCATATTGATAGCCCACTCTCAGCTAAACAATAATAAATACCATATCGATAGTCCACTTCCGGCTAAACGATAATAAATATTACATCGATAGCCCACTCCCGGCTAAACGATAATCAATACCATATCGATAGCTCACACCTAGTTAAATAATAATCAATGTCACATCGATAGCCCACTCCCGGCAAAACGATAATAAATGCCATATCGGTAGTCCACTCTCGGCTAATCGATAATATATATCACATCGATAGCCCGCTCGTGGATAAATGATAATAGATGTCATATTGAAAGCCCACTCTTGGTTAAAAAATAATAAATATCTCATCGATAGCCTTTCCGACTAACATTGGGAAGGACAAGGCGTGGGAATGGACACAAGAATGTATGAGGGCCTTGTTCTTCTAAGAAAACCATCGATAATAGACCAACTCCCGACTAAACGATAATAAATGTCATATTTATAGCCTACTTTCGGCTAAAAAATAATAAACATCACATCGATAGCTCACTCTTGGCGAAACGATAGTAAATGTCACATCGATAGCCCACTTCGGGCTAAAAAATAATAAATATCATATTGATAGCCCACTCTCGGCCAAACGATAATAAATGCTAAATAGATAGCCTACTCCCGGCTAAATGATAATCAATGCCACAATAATCACACAAGGCACATAAACACATGAACTCATCATATCACATATCTCATTTGATCAAACATATAGTCACACCATAAGACACGCAATCACAATTCACATCTAAGCACACAATCGAACATATAGTCAATTTCTTATTCATTTTAGGCTCAGTCTGATGGCTATTCAGCTTACAATATTTACGTCCATAACTTAACCACAGATACAAAACATTAAGCAGCTATATGGACAATCCCCTATAACGATCGGAACAATCTAAAATAACAATGAATCCCAAATCAAAACAAGAACATAATAATAACGTGAACTATCTACTTATTTAAAAGCTAATTTTTCTAAGTAGCTCATTGGGTTTCAAACTTTTTTATTCGGAGCAAATTCTTACTAAAAATCCTTATACCTCATAATATTTAAATCATCTGATTATTTAAATCAGAGCTAATTTTTTTTTTCTCTTTTTCTTTTCTCCCTTAGGTTTTCTTCCTCTGCTTTTGTCCGAATGTTAGGGTTTATTTATTTATTAATATACATATATATAATTATATAATAACAATAATAATTATTATTATTATCCTCATCACCATCGGACCATTATCTATAATAATATATTATATTTATTAATCAATATTTGTCCTTTTAACCGTTCCTATAATCTATAATTAACATACAAAATAAAAATATAATTTATTCTAAAATATTTATTTAAATAATAATATTATTTTATATATTTTAAAATCGGGAATTACATATGTACAAAGACACCCACCACAACTGTTGTGGTTAAGATTGTTCATGTAGAATGTGTTTATTGTACTTAAAAGATAATTAAAATTATATATGTTAGAATATTTATATTTATTTATTATTTATTTTATTGTTGGCTTTTATCCATTTTGGACTACATCTATAAATAAGTCTTGATTTTATGATTAATGCAATTAATTATTTCTTTCCCAAAAATTATCTTAACATGGTATGCCCTAATTTCTTCCCATATCAACACAACACACTGCCCATCACAGATCTACCCTTTCTGATTATTTCTGACTGTCTGACCTTCAGCGCCACCACCTCCGGATGTGTCACAGCGAGACCGGCCCGGTGTGTGGAGACCTCATGCACCTGACGAAGATTCGCCATAGGACGCTACAGCAGCACATGCGGCGGCGGTTGCCGGAGATCTTTTTGTTATCATGCTCGGAATTTAATTTTCTCTACGGTGGTATAAATTGTTTTTCCCTTTGGGCACTATTCTGCGATCGTCTAAATTTTCTTGTTTGGGATTCATCTCGGCTTTCTGTCTATCTTTCTGTCTTGGTTCTGTTATCTGTCTGTAGTCATACTATGGCATTGGAGTGCCTTTCTGTATTTGAAACAGTCCAAAATATCGTGACTCTTTGCATCAATCGCATCAAGTTCTTGCTTCTAGTTCCTCTCAATGCATGGCCAATTTAGGTTGTTATGTGTGGTATTTTGATTCCCGTTGTTGCAATCATATGACACCTACACTTGGTCTCTTGATTGGTGTGAACCTATGTCCTCTTCACTGTCTATACAGGCTGGGAGTCGGATGGATATCATTCATCCAGGATATGCATCCCTACCATTTACATATTTTCATGATACTTATTCCATTCCTCAATTGACTTTAAATCTTGTATAAGTTGCCAATTAGTTGACTAGGGACTTAGTTAGTTTATCCTCTTCTGGTGTGCAGGTTCATGATCAACGTACGGATCAAATTTTTGATACATGTCGAAAGGTGGGTCACCTATTTGAGGTACAATCTTTGAAAATTCCTCCCCGTAAGTTTTTTGTTGCTTCTACTCTTACTCCCCTTTTTACCCTTCCTTCTCCTAGTCTTCACTGACACCTTTGTTGTATCTTCCTAAAAAATTCAGTCTCTCGTTAGTAAGGGTCGTTTGTATTCTATTAGTTTTCAGTCATTTGATTGCTTACATTTTCGTATGGGAAAATAACCCGCCTTATCTTTTTAGAGAAAATATGTTGATCGCAAATAAACCATTTTATCTTGTTCATTTTGATATTTGGGGTTCTTTTCATGTTCCCTTCCTGAGTGAGTGTCGTTGTTATGTTATATTCATAAATAATTGCTCACGTTTTACATGGATATATTTTTTTAGACAACGTTCAAAATTACCTCAAATATACGTTATATATGTCCAAATGATCAAGATTCAATTTTTTTATTCCATACAACCTTTCTTGAGTACAAAGATTCTACCTTGTTAAACTTTCTTTCTACTGAGCCTACATATAGTGATTCAGGCTCGTGTCCATACAACTCTCAGCAAAATGGTTGCGCTAAGTGGAAGCATCATCATATTATAAATATTGTTTAGCGTCACTTTCATCAGCCTCTTGTGCTGATAGGTGTTAGCATTTGAATAGGTTTCAGGGAAGTAGCCCTTAGTGCCGTCTATACTATAAATCGTATTCCATCATTTCTCCTTCATAGTGTTACTCCTTTTGAGCGTCTATATGATCAACCACCCGATTATAGTAGCCTTCATCCATTTGGCTGGGTCAGTTTTGTCCTTATCCCTCCACATGAACATTCTAAATTAGAAACTTGTGCGCGTTTGTGTTGTCTTCTCAGTTATGGGATAGAGCATAAAGGTTATAGGCTTTGGGATCCAATTGCGTATTTCTTGTCATGTTATATTTAGGGAGAGTGTCATGTTTTACACTTTGTCTAAATTTCATGTCTCCATTGTTTCTGGTTCACTGTCATTATTGTCGTCATTCTCCCTTGTTTCCTGGTTCTGACCCTACAACCCCATCTCAACCTTCGGATCCTAATCCAGTTAACACTTCTAATCCACCTCTGACCTTGTCTCCAGATGCTAATGTGACTGTGATGCCTGACCTTTCATACGCCGTCCTATATCTGCATGAGCCCATGTCAGTTCATATTCTAATCCATTATGGCGAGAAACGATGTTTGAGAAATTGCAGGCTTTACAGAAGACTCAAACATGGGACTTAGTTGATTTACCTTCAGGAAAAACACTTATTGGCTGCAAATGGATTTTCAAGAATAAAACCAAGTCCGATGGGTCAGTTGAGAGTTAGAAGAGCACTACCTTCTTCCCTTTCGAAAGATGCAATAAATAATTTTTTCCAATGTGTTTGCTTAGAGTGTCATCTCTTGGTAAAGGAATAGAAATCTTCCCCGACCAAACAATTAAATCTCTATTAACAAGTGTATATATTTCTAGAAAACAATAAGAAAATCTTCTCCTTGTTGTATCTTCCTATCCATCTATCTTGACAGGTACATGTATGCATTCTATGCCTTCCTCAAATGGGACGTGAGATCAACAAATAAATTCTCGCTGCAGGGAATGGTTAGGCCTCCCATTGGATGATAGAACCCGAATTCCTCCTCAGCTTGAGACAGCAATTCTTGAAACATAGGATCCTTCAAATAAGACATCGGAACAACAAATCGTTTCTTTTCTCTTGTCTCCCCAATGTATACTGCTAAGTGCCCCTTTGGAACCTCGGCTGATCTTCTTTCGCTTGATAAAGACCGTCTCAGCTTTTGTAGGATCGCCATTTTGGGATTGTCTGAATAAAAGAAGATGAAAATTTTTATGTAAGAAGTGATCAATCCTTCAGAAGATTGAAGTCGATGTTGCTTGTTTTAGTATGGATGTCTGAAGTATATATATAATAGACAAGCAATAAAGATATTCCGTGTACTGCAGACTATTTGAAAAACCAGCGAACATTGAACGTAGAATATTAGTTGCTTACGAAACTACTGAGATATCAGCACATGGTCAGATAAAAGCATCTGTCTTAGTACAGTCCTGTAAGATCACAAGCCGCCGCAGCTTTTGTGGTTGATATGATTGTCCCTTTAGGACATGTATCTGTTGAATGTCTTTACTGTAATAAGTCAATACAGACCTGGGGCCTTCGTTCTTCCTTAACTTCTACACCAATTCTGTAATGAACACAAGTTTAAGATCCTTAAACCTCTGAGTCAATCAGAGTCATGATCCGCCAGCCAAATTCGCTGTCTTAAAGGTTTCACATTGGTCGAGAAACACAATCACATGAGCTGCTGATTTGTTTCACCTTGCAATGTCTGAAAACAAAAATGTAGATATTCTGTAATGAATGTGTAACCATTGTTTCACATGGTGGACCCATTGAGAGGTTTTGAAGGGCAATTTCTGTTAGGAAATAAACTTATTTATGGTATAATTTAATTGCGTGCAACTACTGTTGGGTAGAATGTATTTTCCCTGATTGGAGAATACATTTAGTTGACAAAACTTCTATTGATTTATAATTTCCATGTTTAAGGTTTGATTAGTTAGAGATATGATGCATATGTTTTCATTAAGGATAAGTGCAGCAGGTAAGGTAATTGATAGAAAGGTTTATTTTCTGATACGTGAATTTCTCCACTGCACAAATATTTTATCTCTGCAATTTTTGAAAGCTCTGTTTTTTTAAATCTGTGGTCACAAATTTTCTTCCAACAATTTCAGCTCTTTACACTGTTTCAGTTTCAATTTTGCAAAGTAGATCGGATATTAGGAATTCCAATGGAAGCCAAGTAGTGGTTGAGCATATGATCGATTACAAATCCAATTTATTACAACTGTCATAAGGCATGTGGTGGTTGTATGTCCTGAAAGAACACTAATTTTTCGGCCACACAGGTTGCAGCTGTCCGACAAACTCTACCATAACTGGAAGACAAGCGCATTCATTTCGCCATATGCTCATGCCTCATCAGGACAGCTCTATTATGGAATTAAACATTCAATAAGAGGTTTTCTACTAGACGGAATTTCTTGATCGCCTATATATACAACACCATATCCAGACTACCACCAGCAACAACTAGACCAATCTTTCTAACCTTTCACTTCTTACACAAACACATCTTCTTACAACTTTCACCTTCTTGCCTAACACATCTGACGATGGCGATCGTACAAAAGCTTAGAAGGTCTTTATCGAGGGAAAGAAGATGGGCGGAAGTTCCAAAGGGGCACTTGGCGGTTTATGTTGGGGAGTACGATGAAAAGAAACGATTCGTCATTCCGGTGTCCTTTTTGAACCATTTGTCCTTCCAAGAATTGTTGCTTCAAGCTGAAGAAGAATTCGGATTTCATCATCCAATGGGAGGCCTCACCATCCCATGCAGCGAGGATTTATTCATCGATCTCATCTCTCACTTGAGTCCATTGTAACGAATATAAGTTCATAAACAAATAGATAGAGAAGATACACAGCACATACATTTCTTCTGATTTCTTCCTGATTTTTCAGACTCGGATACTTTTAGACATCAATGGATATTTATGTACCAAAAAATAATGTAATATTTAGACAAAGATTATAGAATACTAACACATTACAACATTTATCAACTATATTACAACAAAATGTTAAAATTTGTGTTTACCTATAAGCTTTTAGAACTTTTTGTCACTATTCACAACTGTAATTTTTCAAGAAACTTTGACATCAAATATATATATACATATATATCTCCTTAGAAAACATCATATGAATTATCCACTTTTTACTATTTTAAAAAATTTTCAAAAGTGCAAAACTTCTAAAACTTCTATTGATTTTTTCCGGGAAAATATATTTCCCTAATATGAAAAGTTAAAATGGATTGTTAAGAACACAACTAAACAAACTAAATAATATTACCACTTATTTTATTTCTTTCTTTTATTAGTCAATCAAAATATATTAATTTCTTTAAAAAAAATTAAAATGAAATTAAAGATAAGATAAATTTATTTTCTAATCAAATTGTTGGCCCCGAAAAATTATTCACTCACGCACAACAACAACAAACTTAAAAAATCAACACAAAAAAATCCCTCAGCATAGACTGGTTGTTCGTTGGACGATCGAACTGCGAATGAACGTACTGGTGACGAAGAACATTAGAAACACAACAAAATGATAACCCAGTTCGGCTGCACCAGCCTACATCTGGGGGGTTCCAACCCAGACGAAACTCACTATTGAAACCATTGAAGCACAAGATGTGTAAATACAATCGAGCTACACACTCAAGAAATTTATCTACCTATTTCTTGACGATTTCCCGTACTCAATCTATCCCACACACCCCTCACCTTCAATGTTTTACTTTTTTTCTCCCTCAATTCTTTCTTTGGGTGAATTACATTCAGATTTTTCTATATGCTCCCCCAAATCTATCTTGCTTCACTCTATATTCTATATAAAGCTCAATCTCCAAACATGAGTATATTCACTCTAACAAACTCAACAAGAATGGAATCTTTTTCCCCACTATCTCTCGCTACCTTCACAAAGTTTGTTGCAACCAATTTTTGTTATTCCCACACATGGATTAGGGGGACCAACAGGTTTTCTCTATCCATTCGTTTGGGTCATCGATGGATTGATCAATTTGGATTACTTTCTTGTTTGATTGGACACAAGACTAATTGTCTATCTCTGTTCATCCGTTGATTGGACCATCTGCAAACAACATCAACCAAAATCTCAAAACAAATACAATCCACTTTCAACAATCTCCCTCTTTTTGGTTGATGTTTACCAACCACAGTAGGGTCAATCTTCTCAACATTACACACCATTAGCACACATTCAAACCATTATATAACTCACCCTCAACCAAGAATAAATGCTTCAAACTAAGGACATGCAATCCACTCCCCCTTTGGGAGACATCAAACAAAAAGCCTTCAACGACGACGGTGTTCCAAAATGTAAGAGACTCCCCCTTAATCCATACACATCAGCTTAGTTATCCATCACAATCAACAACAATAACTAATGTGCACCAGCAAGAAACTCATCTAACCCATCAACCCAATATCAAATTATATCAAGATGAAGATAAATGATTTACCCCTTCAATCGCAGCTTTACTCATTTCTTTTGCTCTCCACCGTGGGAGAAAATCAAGCCAAAATGGATTGAATATGAATTTGACTTCAACTAGAGCTGGAAGGAAGTAAATGTTTTTCCATCTCATTTACCAGATTGTTTTCTGTTGATCCGGACAATCTCTGGACGTAGCTCTCCTCAAATACTAACAGTAACCAAAAGGTATGAATGACTGCAACTTCTTCTCCCCCTTTGGAGAACAACAATCCAAAAAGGAATTTCAATTCATCTAACTATCAAACTCCTCTTCATCCATCCCGGGCACCTTATCCGCCTAATTGATTTCGCCAACACCTAGAACATCTCTTCCAAACAATTTTAGTAGACTAACACACATCTCAAAACACCTTGTCCAAATGGATTATCTCCTCCAAAATAGAGTAAGCTTGTACCTTCATAAACATGCGCCCAAACTTTTAATACCAAACATACTCATTTGATTAGGACAATGACCACTTTTGTTGCACAGATACACTTTCGTGCTTGACCACTCTTCCAAGACCACACCCATTACTGCAAGAAGCACATATGAAGATTCTGTCGTAGCTCTTCACATTGATTCAAATTCAAGGCTTTGATTTGAATGTCTTCCAGTTACTATGTTGTCTGCACATGATCAATGCTGCACACTCTATTTTTTGAACCTCCAACAACATTGTTCAGTTTGATTTCAGATGTGCAACAGTGAATGCCTCCAAGGATATGCTCTGGTGAATGCTTCTTGTTGGCTTTGGTGAGAACTTTTATTGATGGTTCAAGATTTCTGCTCTCGTGGGGTTGTTTATGTGATGTCCAAACGCAATCTGAGTCCCCCTTATTTACATCAATCAAATCTAATATCTCTGTGCTCTGCTTCAGTTCAAATTCATCATCACTTGAATTTTGACTTCTTGCCTCACACAATTCATTGTGGCAGTTCATATTAACGGACTCTATTCCAATGTTCTGTGTGGAGAGAGAAACTAGACATGCTTCTTGATTCACCTTAGGTCTCCACACTAGTCTCGCCATAATTATGTTCTTCAATTGTTTTTATGGTCAAAACACTTTTCTGCCCAACCATAAATCTTGTCTGATTCGATCATAGTCCAACTCTTGGTGTCCAAATTGTTTGCAGTACATGCAGGTTAATGGTTGTCTGTCTGACCACCAGACACTCTTTCGATTTCCAGAGGATTTCGAAATAGCAGTCAATGCAACACCTTCCTTGCTACCAGTTGATTCAGAGAGCAATCCACCGTTGACAAATGTTGTTTGAGAAGTTCCAGCCCCATAAGTGTAGCCAATCTTACTATGATCACCATATGGCTTCCCAACATTCAATGATTCATCAAGTTTCTCTTGCCTTTCATCAATCGTTTATTCTCACTCAAAAGCTCCTTGTTCTCAATCTCCAACTTCTGGATTCTCTTTAGTTGTTCACTAGAGATTTGAAACAACTTTTCATGTCCCGCTGCAAATTTATCATTCATTGTGGTGAGCTTTTCATTGACTTCTAGTAGTGTTTTGTTCTTTCTTTCTAAAAGACGAACGCATGCTCTGAGTTTCTCATTTTGAGAGATGAACACTTTCTGTTCAGCAACTACCATCTCATAGGTTTCGATTAATTCTTGAAAACTTTGTGGATTCAACATCACTTTTTTCCATAGCATCACCTTTATGTTCTGATGTCTTCGTTGGAGTTTCAGATTTTTCGGCATTCTCTGCAGCTCGGCTGTCACCTGTTCGGTTGCTATTCGGACTTCTAGTCTGGATCTTCTTCAAATCAAGGTTCTGGGAGAACTTCTGGATGGACTATTTGACTCTTTTCTTTGTCATAACTTTGGATCACTCTTCGGCAATATGTTGAAGAGGAGGCTCTGATACCAATTGGTTGCCCCGAAAAATGATTCTCACGCACAACAACAACAAACTGGTTGTTCGTTCAACGATCAAACTGCGAATGAACATACTGGTGACGAAGAACATTAGAAACACAACAAAATGATAACCCAGTTTGGCTGCACCAGCCTACATCTGGGGGGTCCCAACCCAGGCGAAACTCACTATTGAAACCATTGAAACACAAAATGTGTGAATACAATCGAGCTACACAATCAAGAAATCTATCTACCTATTTCTTTACGATTTCCCGTACTCAATCTATCCCAAACACCCCTCACCTTCAATGTTTTATTTTTTTCTCACTCAATTCTTTCTTTGGATGAAATACATTCCAATTTTTCTATATGTTCCCCCAAATTTATCTTGCTTCACTCTATATTCTATATAAATCTCAATCTCCAAACATGAGTATATTCACTCTAAGAAACTCAACAAAAATGGAATCTTTTTCCCCACTATCTCTTCTTACCTTCACAAAGTTTGTTGCAACCAATTTTTGTTATTCCCACACATGGATTAGGGGGACCAACGAGTCTTGTCTCTCCATTCGTTTACGTCATCATTGGATTGATCAATTTGGGCTATTTCCTTATTTGATTGGACTCAAGACAAATTGGGCCGCTTATGTCCATCTCTGTTCGTCCGTTAATCGGACCATCTGCAAACAACATCAACCAAAATTAAAAAAAAAAACAATCCACTTTCAACACAAATATTGTAGGAATTCTCGTTTTAGGAATGCATGAAATCAAATAATAATTAGTTGTTTAGCCTATTCTCAAAACCGAATTACGGTGAGTTAGAAATAAATGAGATAATATAATTATCCATGTCACATAATTATGTGCCGAACCAAGTTGTGAATTCGGATTGGGTGTCGGACCGAGTCGGTGAGCACACAGGTCGGATAGAAAATTTCAGAAAAACTCTATCCATACCAAACAAATAAGTCATATCTTAAAATTGATATCTATATCTAAATTTGAGATCATATCCCTAAATTGGATGCCTTCTGCAGCTTCTCTAAAGGCTGGTGCCTGCTGCAGTGGCACATTTTTGGGGCTCACCATCACTGTCTAGATAGGAGATCCGAAGCCTTGTTGTAACCCGGAAGCAGCAGGGAGTTGGCTTACCTTGGAAGCTTCTTGTCCCTCAACATATTGGGATGTTGCTGGAATTGATGCTTTTGGTCCCATGATGTTTCAGGAAGTGTTGGGATGAACGGATGTGCTAAAGCTGTCATTGTCCATGCCCCCACGCACTGGAAATCCTTTTCTTGACCACTGGATATCCCTGAAAGTTCGAAGTAAGAGTTCGAAAATTTGGTATCGTTCTAGTATAAGGTTGGCTCATGTTACATTGTGGCATTGAGGGACTGTTCCAAAGGTCATTACACATCCATCGTGCGGAGGCAGCCCAAAAGTTTGTCCCTTGCCAGCAAATATCTCTTCTATAAAATGAGACTGACTTATCACTGTAGCCTTCTTCAAACCAATACTTGATTTCCCTTTAAACTCAAATATAAAGCACTCACAGATTGCGTAAAAAACATGATTCTTTTGAACACCAACCTCTAATGTTGCGAAAAATTGGTAAAACGCAATTAAACAAGAGAATCAAGGATATCTTTCTTTGTCCCAATTTTCCAAAATTTTACTATTTGGGCTCTGCGTTTTTTTATTTTAAAAAAATACATTTTTTCCACTCACAATACATCTTATCAAACATTATTTTAATATCAAATTCAAACCAAATTTTCTCAAACTCAACCAAAAGAAACACACCCTTGGTTATTATTAAATATCTTGGGGTGTTGCCAAGAAGATAAGAAATACAATGCTGATTGCACGATTTCAACAAGAGAAAAAATTTCGATCAAAATCGAACATTTATTTATTAATGAAAGGATAAAGCTGAAATCAAAGAGAAATAACTGAATATTTATAAGTTTGGAAATCCTAAAAATCCACCAAAAAAAAAAAAAAAAGAGAAAAAATTTTGCAAAAATTTAACAGATACCTAAATAGAAAACGTCATTTTAAGGCTCCAAACAATCTCGGATGGTTGATGACTGAAAAACGTCTAACATGGTTAGTTAGCCGTTTTTAATGAGCCAAGCGAATTTCATTTAACTCCGAGCCAGAAGGATTAATAAAAAAAATTAATGAATTACATCATAAAGCATCAAGAAGATAAGATTAAATTAGTCGAAACCTTATCCAACCATGGAACCAATATTGGTCTACCATGTGAACTATCATAAATTCAATGGTCCACATGAACATCTCCTCTACTAAACACCAAAGTATTGTAATAATATTTTCAAAACATGGATGTGTTTTGAAAGAGAGAAAACTCATAGTTTTTGAAGAAAAGAATAAATGGTTGTGTGTGTTATTAGAACAGCAATATGCGACTCGAACTTGTTAACTTCAGCGATCTTTGAAGATTTCGGTGTTTAGTTTGTTCAATCTTGATCCCAGAAAGAATGTAATAGATGAGCAATATTGTCAGAATTATGTATAGAATTCGTCGAATAAAGTAATGCTAATTTTACACATGAAATTGATCAACAGAATTTTCTTGCAATGTTTTTGTGGAGTATAGTTTCTGGTAAGAAAATACAGATCTTGTCCAGGCAAAAAAGATCCTCTTTAAATGAAAGGATAAATTGTCCCCAAAGACAATACAAAAACCTATCTAATTATCTATCTATTGATCTTTCTTTCTATTTATCTAGACATGTTTGTATTCTATGACTTGCTCAAGAGGGAAGTGAGTTCGATAAATAAATCCTCGCTGCATGGAATGGTGAGGCCTCCCATAGGATGATGGAAACCGAATTCCTCCTCAGATTGAGACAGCAATTCTTGAAACATAGGATTCTTCAAATAAGACACTGGAACAACAAACCGCCTCTTTTCGCAGCTCTCCCCAACGTAAACGGCTAAGTATCCCTTTGGAACCTCAGCTGATTTTCGTTCGCTTGATAGAGAACGTCTCAGCATCTGTACAATTGCCATTGCTGGTTGTATTGGGTAAGAAAAGGGGAGTTTTATTAAGATGCGATGATGAGAAGATCAAAGGCTTTGTAAGAGAATGAAGTAGCTTTAGGACTTGCTGCTCGTTGTAAGGATATGAGGTGTATATATATTGGGGAGAAAGATCGCTGTATAGTACAGGATATCTAATCAAGTGGCAAATATTTGTCTAAAAAAAATGGTGAGACATAAGCACATGGAGAGACAAATGCACTTGTCTTTGTACAATCGAATAGAATCTCAAGACACCACAAGTTTTTGTCGTCCCTACAGATTGTCAGGTAAGGACATGTATCCATCAAATGTCCCTACAGCAATAATCAGACAGACTGGCTGCAATCTCTCATCTTCAGTTACTACATAAATCCAATTCCCCTTATTAGTGCATATTACGGCGATCATAGAAACTCTTGAATCATTTCCGAAGCTACCAACATTGTTCCACCATGTGATCGATAGAATTATGAATGTTGTTCCCTCAAAGGTGATCTACATTAACAGAAATCTGCTGCTCATATCATCGGATCTGTTTTCAAACAGATATGAAAGTTTTGACTGCACTGTCTGAATCGTAAGTTCGATTTTCAAAACATCCTTGTTAAAATGTGAATGATTCTTTCTTACTGAAACCTTGTCCTTGTTAAACATCGAATATGGAGACAAACACTCACACAAATACTAACACAAAATTATGTAAAGAAAACACATAATACAAAGCAAAAAATACTTAAGGCATGAAGATATAATTGCTTGGCTATAATAATTCTCACTTTTTCATCCGTTGAAAATATACCAACGGACAACGCTATTTTAAAGCAAAAAAATACTTTAGATATTTCAAAAATTAACACCACAATTAATCATAAGATAAATTGTATTATTCTAGTGTAACATTTATCCTTTAAACCCATTATTCTAGTGAAACTCTCATGCATTATATATTTTTTAGTATCCTCTAACCACTGAATTTGACACCCAATTCAACATCAATTAAAATACATTTAAGTTTATTCAACAGTCCTAAGATGAATAATATGGGTGTGTTTGTTTGTGGGTTTAAAAATAAATATTTGATCAATTATTTATTTATTTGTTTTATTAAAAAATTATTTAAGATATTGTACGTTTTTTATTTGTATAAAACTTGAGTAATTTAGGACCAAGTATTACGAGGAACTTCAATTTAATTTGATTAGAAACATAAAAAAGCAGTAGTACCTTTTTTTTCGAACCAAGCCTTTCATTTCATGCAATCTCTATGAAAGTCTGGATTTTCCACAAAAGCGACACTTGACATTATTGAGTTCCTTCTTTTGGACTTAGACAAACGGCACATTCAATTTCAATGGTCCATGCTAGCCCTTCACTTTTTTATTCCGAACTCTCGTACCAGCTCCTTGGTCGGTAATAAGATGAATTGAATGAGAGCCCTAATTTTTAAGCCGTGTTTCCTCTTGAACTAGCATACTATGAAGTTCATTCACATTTCATTTATCTTTTATGGTATTATAGTTCATTTGGAACGAACCATGGTTAGCGTAGCCATTAGTGTCCCACCAGAGACTTATCCGCAGTTTAAGAGTGTTCCCAATTGCTTTCATAAATTCCTTAGCATTATTGATTTTAGGAAGAGTAGATTAATGTTGTTTGCTATACTCATCCACATAAGCATCAAACTCAATTTGTTTGATCTCTCCCAAGGACACTTTCGCTGCTAGTATCAGTAATAGGAGGAGGCTTTTCAACATGAAGTGGTAGGTCAAGACCTAAAACACCAAATTGAAACTGAATATTCTTAGTCCATTCAGGATAGTTGAGCCATTGAACATAGGAACAGATGATGCATGAATGAAGCGAACCAGACACAGGTACTGAAAATTTAAATAAATGAGATTTTTCAAATCAGATTCAAAATAAAGACAATAAATGTACGTTGTAATTCTCCTTTAGGTGAATAAAAATGTACTAATTAAACATAATCGATGCTAACATAATTCGCACAATTAATCACACTTTAATTAAAAATGTATGTCATCTTTTGATACTTAGGCTGTTTGGATCAGCTTAAAAAATAAGCAGAAGCCAAAAGCAGAAGCAGAAGCAAAAGCCAAAAGCAGAAGCAGTTCGATTTTGTGTTTGGATAAATTATTATAAAAGCAGCTTTTTGTAAAATACAATTTGGATGTTACAGAGTTGAGTTGAAAGTACTTTTAAACTATTAAAATTACAGAGTTGGATAAATTATTTTTATATTATATTATAGTATTGTATTATTTATTATTATTATTATTATTATTATTATTATTATTATTATTATTATTATTATTATTATTAGTATTAGTATTATTATTATTAAGGATAAAACAGTAATTTGGACTGAAAAGTGTTTCTCCTTATTTGAAAAGCTACTAGGGATGTCAACCGGGCGGGTTCGGGACGGGTTCTGTAGGCCCCAAGACCCGCCCCGCTAGAAAATATTAGGCTCCGAGACCCGCCCCGCCCTGCTTCCACCTGGCCGCAGGACCCGCCCCGCCCCGCCCCGAACCCGGCCAACCCGGCAAACCCGTTTTTTTTTTTAAAATATAATAATAAATATTTTTTAATAATCGAATACTAAAACAAATAGCATTAAAAGCACAAAAAATATATATATATATATAAAAACAATCAAAATATTGATCCATAAAAATAAGATAAATAAATAAATAATATATTTTTATTATATAAATATACATATATTAGGTATAACAATTTGAAAAAAAAATTTTGAGCAGACGACTAATTGAATTTTATATTTAAAATTATTTAAGTAAATAAATAATATATTTTTATTATATAAATGTACATATATATTAGTTATAGTAATTTTAAAAAGTATCCGGGTTCGGGTCCGGGTCTGGGTTGGGGCGGATTTTTAATAAAACCTGTAACCCGCCCCGAACCCGGCCGGATTTAAAATTTTAAATCCACAACCCGCCCCGAAACATATTTAGACCTGAACCCGCCCCATTAAGAACGGGTCCGGGGTAACCCGCCCCATTTGACATCCCTAAAAGCTACCCCTAGAAAAAAGCATTTTTCAGCTGCAAAAGCTGCTTCTGCTTTTGAACATAAGCTAATGCAAATAAGTATAAACTGCTTTTTTTAGAAGTAGAAGTCAAAAACTCCTTACACATTTAATAAAAGTACTTCAATAATTTTCAATCATATTCTTAATTATAAAATAATTGATCTACCTTTGGTTGATCCTTAAATGTTTGTATAATTAACGAAGTTCAATTTACCCGTCTCATGCTAATGAGTAAATAAATTTAGATATAATAATTCGCACAATTGAATTTCACTAATTATAAAAATATTTAAGGATCAGCCCAAAGTAGATCAATTATTTTATAACTAAGAACATGATAGAAAATTATTGAAGTATTTTTATTAAATGTGTCCAAAGATGACATACATGTCTAATTAAAATGTGATTAATTGTGCGAATTATGTTTAATTAGTACCTTGTTATTCACAAGTTCAGTACCGTGAGGTCATGGGTTCAAACCCCCGACGCCTCAGGTCACCTGCCACATATGGTTCACTTAGTGTGACTTGCGCACTTTCGAGTAGTGGCTGCGGGTTCCCACGTCATAAAAAAAAAAAAAAAAAAAAAAGAATATTAAACACAATATTAAACACAATGCTTAAGATGGGAAGAGAAAAATTATTAAAGGGGGAGAACCCATTATTACAACAGAAGCACAAAGTGATATTATCATAATGTAAATGTTAGAAGCACTGATATTATGTCAAAGCAATTGCAGAAATCAAGTGCATTTAAACACATGGAATATAAAATGAATAAGAAGTGATATTGACGTGTAGATGAAGCCATTTGAAAGGTAGTTTTTTATTTGTTATGTTTTTAAAATTTTTATATATTTTCTACTTATAGTAGTTGTACAAAATGACCATCATAATGATATTTTTTTATTTATATATGTATATTGTCACTATTTTTTAATTTTTATTTTCAGAATACAAACAAAAGGAACATTCTTCGCATATGATTTCAACCTCTTTTCTTTAAAAAAAAAAAAAAGTTATTTCAAATAATATTATGAAAAAACAAGATACCCATTATATATTAAATTTTGGAAAAGAGAAAAAACAAAAAGGAGAGACAAAAAAACCTCAAATCACACAAACACACAAAGTTCGAATATTCGAAGAAGAAAGAAAATTTGTGGGCTGCGGCGGCGGCTGTAGAAGGTTGCCGACGGACGGAGACGGTAAAGAAAAAGAAGACAGAAGAGGAAAGAAAGAAAGAAGAGAGGAAAGATCGAATTAAGGAAGAAGAAAAAGAAATAATACATAGCAAGAGGACACCATTAGTATAATAATATTAATACTATATTTATAATTTAAAGTTTTATAAATTATTATTTTAATTAAAATTGTTATATTTTTAATTTGTACATTTATTTTAATAAAAAGAAACTTCTTTTATTATATTTTTAATCATACTTTTTTTCTTTTAATTTGTTATATTTCAGAATATTTAATATAATTTTTTTTAATTTTCATTTATAGTTAATATAAAAATTATTGTCATGAGAATATTTTTAATATATAATTTTTTTTAGTATTTAATTAAATTTTTTATTATATATTATATTTTTAAAAATTATTTTTATTATTTTTGTAATGGTTGAAGGGCAGTAACAAATATAAATACATCACATTTTCTTATAATTATAGTTGTTACGGAAAAAAATCACAACAAAGACGATAAGGCTGACCAAACAAAAAAAAAAAAAAAATCATTTGTTACGAAAATATTCGGTTAAAAAAATAGCTTTTGAAACTATATAATTAGTTAGCGGTGTAGCAACATTGTCTCTAACAGAAACACGAGCACATGATAATCACATGATCTTGTCCTCAAATTATTGAATAGATTTTAGGACAAGAAAATGAAGCAATTCGATGATATCTGTATGATAACTCACTCCTTCAAGTAACAAACACAAAAGCTACTGTTTTTTTTTTTTTTTTGTTTTACTCTAAAAATAAAAAATAAAATAATATATGGATTGTTTGGAAAGAGAAAAGGACTGATATTTTGAAGAAAATGGAAGCACAGATACTTATGTTCATCAAGTGACTTAACAATGAAAGGATTTATCGACCAGAGGATTTTATATAACCCTTCTTCCAAGCAGGATCAGATCAGCATATTTTAGCTGTCTACGGTATTTTTATCTTTTTTATTTGTGCAGATACACTAAAAGGGACTGGAATTATTGTCTTATTACAATGACTAGGCAGTGAATGGCCTAATCATGTAAGGGTTTACATTATAGAATTGATAGACAGGTTTCTTGCAATGTATTTTTGGAGTTTAATTTTCTAGCTAGTAAGGAATTACAATTCTTGTCCGGGCAAAAAAATTCCTCGATAAATGAAAGGATAAATGCCCCCGAAAACAATACAAGAATCTAGCTTTCTATCTATTTATCTAGACATGAATGTATCTTATTGCTTGCTCAAGTTGGATGTGAGATCGACGAATAAATCTTCGCTGCAGGAAATGGTTAGGCCTCCCATTGGATGATGGAATCCGAATTCCTCCTCAGCTTGAGACAGCAACTCTTGAAACATAGGATTCCTCAAATAAGACACGGGAACAACAAACCTCTTCTTTTCGCAGCTCTCCCCTACGTAAACGGCTAAGTGCCCCTTTGGAACCTCAGCTGATCTTCTTTCGCTTGATAAAGACCGTCTTAGCTTTTGTATGATGGGCATTGTTGGTTGTATTGGGCAAGAAAATGAAACGTTGATGAATGTATGTTTTGTAAGAAATTAAAGGCTTGTAAGAGTTGTTGATTTTAATCTGCATTTTGTGCTGTGTATATATAGGCGAGAAATCGAGAAATGATGTGTACTAAATGTTCAATCAAGTGGCCAACATTTTGAGTAGGATATGTGTTTCCTATGAAACTAATGAGACATAAGCACATGGCAAAATAAATGCAGTTGTCTTTCTAAAATCATTAGTATCAGAAAATACCACAATTTGTGTAGTCAAAAATATGGTCCCCTTAGGACATTATGTATCGGTCAAGTATCTCGACTCTACTGCAATAAATCAGACAAACCATTTGCAGTCTTTATTATCAACTACTACTCAGATAGGAGTCCCCTAATAATTTGAATGCAAGCCTTCCGTCCGAACCTGAAAACATTGGTCCACCATGTGATCGACTGAAAATTGAAATATAAATGTTATTGCATCGAAGGTCCACATTGTTTCTGTTGCAAGAAGAAATTGACAGATCATGTGATTTTGCTTCTTAACAGATATGAAAATGTTCGACACAACATGAATCTCAGACTTTGGTTGTCCTGAGATCACTGCACTTCTCTTCTGTAATAAAATCAGACTGACTTATCACTATCGCTTCTTCGAACCAATACTTGATTTCCCTTTAAATTCAAATATACGGCACTCCTCCAACGTCTAAAAACCATGATTCTTTTGAACACCAACCTCAAAAAAATAAATAAATAACATGGAAATTCTATCACTAAAATTGTAGCTAAAGCAATTCTATGTTTTTTTTTTTTTTTTTTTTTTTTTGTAACTTAAGAACCGGCAGTCGCTGCTCGAAAGTGTCCCTAAACCCCGGCTGAACAATTCATCTTTAATTATATCTCTAATGACTTTACTAACTAAAAAAAAATGATTTAAGGAACAACAAAAAAATTCTTTACAAAAACATTATTTTTTTTAGTGATATGGGCCCACTCAATTCATTCAAAATATTTTATTTCTTATCTTTTCCTTAGATCATATAAAATTTTATGTTATACAAAATAATTCATACTTCTTACTTTTAAGGTCTCATTTACCTTACAACAAAATCAAATATAAATTATGAAGACCAAATCTAAATTTAAATATACTCAATCTATAAAAACCTAATATTAAAAATATCTCAACAAAATTAATATTAATTAAATAAATTACTTTCATTCTAACTTTCAACTAAAAATAACTCAACCGGTAACCAAAGGCACCCTAAAAGATTAGAAAAAGGTCATTGTAAGGTCCTAAACAATCTGGGATGTGGGACATGGTTTGTCGGGCGTTTCGAATTAGTCATAAAAGTTCCATCTAATGCCAAGCCAGAGCACGAGAAGGCAGAAAAATTAAGGAATTGCATCATAATACATCAAGAAGATAAGATACAATTGGTCGAAACCTTATCCGATCACCAAACAAATATTGGCCTACCATGTGAACTATCATTAATTCAAAGGTCCACATGAACATGTCCTTTAACCATTATAGGGATTTTAGAGTAAGAAAATGAAGCCATTTAATGATATGTGTATGCTGAATTATTTCACTAATAAACACTAAAGTATTGTAATAATATTGAGAAAACATGGATGTGTTTTGAAAGAGAGAAAAATCATAGTTTTCAAAGAAAAGCATAAATGGTTGTGTGCGTTCTTAGAACATCAATGTGGCTCGAATTTGTTAACTTGGGCAATCTTTTGGTGTTTAGGTTGTTCAGTCTTGATCCCAGAAAGAATGTAATAGAGATGAGAAATAAGTATCCGTTAGAATTATACATAGCATATGCAGAATTAGGTAATGTTTTTACGCATGAAATTGCTCAACAGAACTTTCTTGCAATGTGTTTGTGGAGTGTAATTTCTGGTAAAAAAAATACAATTCTTGTCCGGGCAAAAAAATCCTTAGTAATTGAAAGGATAAATGCCTCTGAAAACAATACTAAAATCTATCTACCTATTTATCTAGAAATGTTTGTATTCTATGACTTGCTCAAGAGGGATGTGAGTTCGACAAATAAATCCTCGGTGCATGGAATGGTGAGGCCTCCCATAGGATGATGGAACCCGAATTCCTCCTCAGCTTGAGACAGTAATTCTTGAAATATAGGATTCTTCAAATAAGACACCGGAACAACAAACCGCCTCTTTTCGCTGCTCTCCCCAACGTAAACGGCTAAGTGCCCCTTTGGAACCTCGGCTGATCTTCTTTCGCTTGACAGAGAACGTCTCAGCTTCTGTACAATGGCCATTGCTGATTGTATTGGGTAAGAATAGGGGAGTTTTATTAAGATCTGATGATGTGAGAATCGAAGGCTTTGTAAGAATGAAGTAGCTTTAGGACTTGATGCTCGTTGTATGGATATGCCGCGTATATATAAAGGAGCGAGAGAAGCCGTATAGTACTGGATATCTGATCAAGTGGTGAACCCCATAACTAGAATATGTGTTGTCTAAAAAACTAGTGAGACATACGCACATGGAGAGACACATGCACTTGTCTTTGTACGATCAAATAAAATCTCAAGACACCACAAGTTTTGTTGCCCTGAAGATTGTCCGGTTAGGACATGTATCCGTCAAATGTCCCTACTGCAATAATCAGACAGAGTGGCTGCAATCTCTCTAATCTTCAATTACTACGTAAATTTTATTCCCCTTATTTGTGCATATTATGGCGGTCATAGAAACTGTAATAGCTTGAATCATTTCCGAACCTACTAACATTGTTCCACCATGCGATAGACCGAATTGTGTATGGTGTTCCCTCAAACGTGGTCCACATGTAAAGAAATCTGCTGCTCATGTGGTCTGTTTTTTTTAACAGATATGAAAGTGTTTTGACACTTTCTGAGTCCTAAGTTCGATTTTCAGAAGTCATCCTTCATAAAATGTGAATGATTCTTTCGTACCAAAACCTTGTAGCAACATCAATAATACACTTGTTGATATATATATAGTATATATATATTTTATATATTGATATATATATTCTACCTAATATATCTCTTGTATAAATATATAATCTTGTACCCTAATTGTGTTCGATGAAAATAGAGTTTATTCCATAAATCCTAACATGGTATCAGAGCCATGCTTTTTCCCGACTAAATCGAAACAACCCACGAATTCCAGATAGCATATTTCCGATCACTTCCGACCGTCACCGCCACCACCATCGCCTTCGCCGTCACGAGACCGGCCGGACGCCGGAACAGTTCGGCGAACGGCGGCGCGTGAGAGTCACACGCGCCCGACGTGTTTTTCCGGCCGGACGCCTCGCCGGCGCGTGGGGGCGCGTGCGGCGGCCGTTGGCGGCGATCTTTGCACCGTCGTGTTCGGAATTTGATTTCCTCCGCGATGGTATCTTCACTTCCTCGGTTTGAGCAGTTTTTTGTATCCAGTTGACTTTTTGTGTTTCGGGTTTTGATTCGGTTTCTTTCGTTTCGGCTTTCGGCTTGAGGTTTGAGATTCTGTTTTCTCTTGAGTTTCTATGGAAAAGATGGATGTACATATTCCGATCAATGTTGTTTTGTCTGGAGATAATTACAGTTTGTGGGCACAATCGATGAAAAGTTTTTTGATAGGTCGGAAATTGTGGCGAATTGTTACGGGCGATATAGTTGCCCCCATTGCTCCAGTCTCTATAGGAGAAGTTACGCCTACCGCCACAGTTGTTGAATCTTATATTGAAAAATTGGAAGATTGGGATAGTAAAAACCATCAAATTCTCACTTGGTTGCGCAATACTTCCACTCCGGCGATCCATGTTCAGCTTGCCCAATTTGACACTGCCAAGGCAGCGTGGGATTTCTTGGCAGTCCGCTTCCGTGCTACTGGTTTGGCACATTATTATCAGTTATGGAGCACTCTCCACGATCTAAAACAGGAACCAGGACAATCTATCAACGACTTCCTTGCCCAAGTGCAACCCCTTTGGCATCGGTTGGATCAAGCAGAGATCAGTCCTGATCATCTTCGCCTCATTCAGGTCTTAATGGCTTTGCGTCCAGAGTATGAGGCAGTTCGTGCCTCTTTGTTACATCGGCATCCACTTCCTACCTTGGATGCAGCTATTCAGGAGATTCTGTTTGAGGAAACTCGTCTCCACCTAGCTAAGGCTCCTCAGCTTGACTCTGCTCTTGCGGTCACTGCCCGAACTCCTACTCAGAATCGTTCTCATCGTTGCAAAAGATGTCAGTCCTCTGATCATGACTTCGGTCATTGCCCAAAGGTGGAGTGTCACTACTGTCATGTTTTAGGCCATACTATACAGTATTGCCCCACTAGACCACCTCGCTCTGGAAGTAGTAACTACAAGCCTCGGAATTCTCGTGGACCTCAGTCTGGTACCTCCTCTGTCACAGCCTCTGCTGCGCCTGCGCCTGCGCCTCCTACGATTCAAGACCTGGAAGCTCTTCTTAAACAGGTTCTATCTTCCAATACCGCCATGTCTACCACATCAGGTAACTCTCCTTGGTATTTTGATTCTGCTTGCAGTAATCATATGACCTCTGATATACGCCTTATGACCTCCACATCCACCGCACCATCCTTACCCCCTATCCTTACTGCCGATGGTACCCATATGCGCATCACCCATACCGGACATACATCCACCTCATCCTTATCCCTCCCTGACACATATTGTATCCCTCAATTAACCTTAAATCTGATTTCCGTTGGTCAATTGGTTGATCAAGGTCTCACCGTGTTATTTTCTTCTACTGGTGTGCAGGTTCAGGACGCGCAAACCGGGCGGATTCTTGGGAAGGGCCGGAAGACGGGCCGCTTATTTGAACTTACGTCACTCCAGGTCCCTCGTCCCTCTATCTCAGCTGCCACCACCTCTACACCATCCTGCCTTCAGTGGCATCGTCGTCTCAGTCATGCGTCTTCCAATAAAGTCAGGTCCTTGATTAGTCAGGGTAGTTTGGGTTCTGTTAAGTTTGAGTCTTTTAATTGTGTAGATTGTTCGTTGGGAAAACAACCTGCTCTGTCGTTTCCTCATAGTACTTCCATTGCGGATACTCCATTTTCTTTAGTTCACTCGGATATTTGGGGACCTTCGCCCACTGTGTCTATGAATGGTTCTCGTTATTTTGTGATTTTTATTGATGACTATTCTCGTTTTACATGGATTTACTTTCTGCGGCATCGCTCTGAACTTCCATCTATTTATATGACCTTTGCTAAAATGATACATACCCAATTTTCCTCTACTATAAAAACTCTCCGCACAGATAATGCTCTTGAGTATACTGATACATCATTTCTTAGTTTCTTATCTGATCAAGGTACTGTTGTCCAACGCTCCTGCCCATACACCTCTCCACAAAATGGTCGCGCCGAACGCAAACACCGACATATCCTCGATACAGTCCGCACCCTTCTCTTATCAGCCTCTTGTCCAGATCGTTTTTGGGGAGAAGCCGCACTCACCGCTGTCCACACTATAAATCGTGTCCCTTCCTCTGTCCTAGGTAATGTCAGTCCTTTTGAAAGACTATTTAATCGTACCCCTGATTATAGTCTTCTCCGCCCTTTCGGTTGTGTCAGTTTTGTCCTCCTCCCTCCTCATGAGCGCACTAAGTTAGAACCTCGCGCTCGTCTGTGTTGCTTCCTGGGCTATGGGTTAGAACATAAGGGTTATCGTTGTTGGGATCCTATTTCCAATAGGCTACGTATTTCTCGTCATGTCACATTTTGGGAGGATACCAAATTCTCTTCCTTGTCTCACTTCCGAGTCCCCTTTGATCGTTCGTCTCCGTTCTTTACCTTGTCCTCTCCACCCCTATTCCCTTCCAGTGACACGGCTCCGTCTCCATCTCCATCTCCCGCTCCTGACGCTGTCTCGGTTGCGCCTCCTGAACCGCAGCTGATCCCCGAGCCTACTCTTGCTCTCGACTCCGATACATCACCACCACCAGAGCCTGACACGACTTCGCTCTCAGCCCCTGATCCTGGCCCTCGTCGCTCCACTCGGGTTAGTCACCTTCCTACTCACTTACTTGATTATCACTGCTTCTCTGCCACCTTGTCCCATCATGAGCCCAGGACCTTTCGTGAGGCGTATGCGGATCCTTTGTGGCGGCAGGCTATGTCTGAGGAGTTGCAGGCTTTGGAGAAAACACATACGTGGGATATGGTTGATCTTCCCCCTGGCAAGAAACCTATTGGCTGCAAGTGGGTATTCAGAATCAAAACTAACTCTGATGGATCTATCGAGCGCTACAAGGCACGTTTGGTAGCCAAAGGCTACACCCAGCAGTATGGTATCGACTATGAGGAGACATTTGCCCCGGTTGCTCGTCTCACCTCTGTCCGCTGTCTTATCGCCATCGCTGCCGCTCGTCGGTGGCCCCTACATCAGCTTGATGTCAAGAATGCGTTCTTGCATGGTGATTTATCTGAGGATATCTACATGTCTCCTCCTCCTGGTTTTCCTACCTCTTCCAAGGTATGCAAACTTCGCCGTGCCCTATATGGTTTGAAACAGGCACCTCGAGCTTGGTTTTCGAAATTTAGCTCTGCTCTACTCCAGCTTGGCTTTACTTCTAGTGATCATGATTCGGCTCTCTTCCTTCGACGTGGGTCAGCTGGAATTACTATTTTATTGCTTTATGTGGATGACATGATTATTACGGGAGATGATGCATCAGGTATCTCCGAGTTGCAAGCTCATCTAAACCGCCACTTCGAGATGAAGAGTTTAGGGCCTCTTCGGTACTTCTTGGGACTTGAGATCTCCGACACCTCCGACGGATATTATCTCTCTCAAGCCAAGTATGCCTCCGACCTCCTATCTATTGCCGGTCTCACTGACTCCAAGACTGCTCCTACACCTCTTGATTCTGACTGTCGTCTTACTCCGATGGACGGCGTTCCCCTTGATGATCCGACTTTGTATCGTCAGCTAGTGGGAAGTCTCATCTACTTGACTGTCACTCGACCGGATATTGCTTATGCCGTCCATATCGTCAGTCAATTTATGTCTGCTCCTCGGACGACTCATCATTCTGCTGTCCTACGGATTCTCCGGTACGTCAAAGGTACCCTGCTTCATGGACTTCATTATTCCGCTCGATCCTCCTTAGTTTTGACCGGGTATTCTGACGCTGATTGGGCGGGAGATCCCTCTGATCGCCGCTCGACCACCGGGTTTTGCTTCTTCCTTGGCGACTCGCTTATTTCATGGCGCAACAAGAAACAGACGGTTGTCTCCCGGTCCAGTGCAGAGTCTGAATATAGAGCCCTTGCCGATACCGCTGCTGAGCTTCTATGGCTTCGCTGGCTTTTGGCTGATCTTGGAGTGCCTCAGCCCTCTGCCACTATTATCCATTGCGACAGTCAGAGCGCCA